ATGGACAGTTTTATTTGTGACACGTGGACAGATCCGCTATTCCTCCCCTGGGTTCAATGCCTTCTTCAGCATAGCCAGTTCAGTCTGAGTACACAGCAGCTTCAGCCATATCCACAAAATTGCTGGACTGTGTCGGCCTGTTCAGCTGTTCTCATTTAGACTGCATGGAATCTGCCTCTCCCACTTTCCATTTTACTTCTAGAGAGGCAAAACTCAGCAGTCTGAGGTTCCTGTTCACATGTTCGATCGATGGTGGCTGCTAGTGAATCGTTGTTTTTTTTACCAATGTAGTTTTTAAATTTGATAGATTGAATCATTTTTAATACAACCTGCACAAATGATCAGCAAGAACAGGTCTTTTTCACAAATTAACAAGTTAAATAAATCCACTGATGGCCATATGTTTTCACTTTTAGAATTTGTGGTAGCCTAATGAATGGTATGCATGTATGAAATGCAGGGGCGGACTGACAACTCATGGGGCCCTCGGGCAATAGGGGATCATGGGGCCCTTGTTTCCTTGCCCACACTCAAAGCACACCCAAAAAAGCCAATAAAAAGGTACCAGGGGCCTTTCATGGGGCCCCCTACTGACTCTGGGCCCTCGGGCAGTGCCCGAGTGCTCGAATGGTCAGTCCGCCCCTGATGAAATGGTTCTCCACCAAACACAAAACACTAAGACAGCTTGTTCAGTTCAAAAAATTCACATGAACTATTTTTGGCATTGCAGCACACCACATCGTGCTATGGTAGTGTGTGTTGAGGTCTACTGCAGTGGTCACCAAATGGCGCACCGCGGTCCACGAATGGCCCCAGCAGTGCTGCAGCCTGGACCGCCAGCCAACAATGACAGCTCCGTCGCTGAGCAGGGCGGTCGTCACGGCAACAAGTCACGTGTGTGCCCCGCCCCTTTCAGCTCACTGTCTCTCCTGCTCCCGCTCCCTGCTTGTACACAAGTGTCCAGCAAGGATCCCGACACAGCTCCTGTCTGCCCTCAAAGTAGGGTGTAGTCTTATAGGGGCACTCTGATAGGCACATTGAATGTTAGGGGGCACTCTGTTGGGCACATTGAATGTTAAGGGGCACTCTGAATGTTAAGGGGCACTTGATGGGCACATTGAATGTTAAGGGGCACTCTGATGGGCACATTGAATGTTAATGTTAAGGGGCACTCTGATGGGCACATTGAATGTTAAGGGGCACTCTGATGGGCACATTGAATGTTAAGGGGCACTCTGATGGGCACATTGAATGAATTAAGGGGCACTCTGATGGGCACATTGAATGGTAAGGGGCACTCTGATGGGCACATTGAATGGTAAGGGGCACTCTGATGGGCACATTGAATGGTAAGGGGCACTCTGATGGGCACATTGAATGTTAAGGGGCACTCTGATGGGCACATTGAATGGTAAGGGGCACTCTGATGGGCACATTGAATGGTAAGGGGCACTCTGATGGGCACATTGAATGTTAAGGGGCACTCTGATGGGCACATTGAATGTTAGGGGCACTCTGATGGGCACATTGAATGTTAAGGGGCACTCTGATAGGCACATTGAATGTTAAGGGGCACTCTGATAGGCACATTGAATGTTTAGGGACACTCTGATAAGCACATTGAATGTTTAGGGGCACTCTGATGGGCACAACTTAGAATGGTCTCATCAGAGTGCCCGTTAACATAAATGGTATCAGAGTGCCTCTTAATATAAATGTGCTCATCAGCATACACCTAATTTTATGTTAAGGGGCACTCTGATGAGCACATTTTATGTTAAGGGGGCACAAATGGGCACATACTGGGCAGCACAGTGGCTAAATGGTTAGCACTTCCGCCTGGCAATACTAAGGTTGTTGGTTCGAATCCCAACCACGGCACCACTTGCCTGGTGTTTGCATGTTCCCCCTGTGCCTGCGTGGGTTTCCTCCAGGTACTCCAGTTTTCTTCCACACTCCAAAGACATGCTGGTAGGTTAATTGGATTTTTGTCTAAATTGGCCCTAATATGTGTATGTATGAATGTAAGTTAGGGACCTTAGATTGTACGCCTCTTGAGGGTTAGGGACTGATGTGAATGTACAATATATATGTGAAGCGCTGAATTTACATCACTATATAAGTACCTATAATAAATAAATACTGTGGAAAGGGGCACTCTGATGGGGAGTATGATGTAAAGGGGCACTCTGATGGGGAATATGATGTAAAGGGTACGTTAAGTGTAAGGGGGCACTCTGATGGGAATACCTGATGTAAGGTGGCAATGTGATGGGGATACCTGATGTAAAGGGGCACTCTGATGGGGACAACTGATGTAAAGAAACACTCTGATGGGCACACCTGATGTGATGGGAATGCATGATGTAAAGTTGCACTGTGATGGCGACACCTAATGTAAGGGGGCACACTGATGGGGCACACCCTATTCGGACCTCGGTCGGAAGAAAATTTTAGTAACCGAACCTCCTTGAATTTCAATTCCGTACCCCTGGTCTACTGTATTTCTGCATTGGGGTGTCATTCAAAAAGGGGATACATTTGGGGAAATCCAGTAAAGCCCCAACGCATTCCTGGCATTATGGCCCTTTTTAAAATGGCCAGGTTTAAAAATTCATGCTGACCATTTTAATGACTTTGCCAATACATGAGGCAGAGTCAGGTAGTTCCAAATAGCACCACACTAAAAAAAATTAATTGCTTCTATTTCGTAAATAAGGAAACTGGAGATAATTAAGATCAACTATAACTTGATGTACAGAGACTGGCAGAGTGCATGTTTTGGCACCACTTACCCCTTCCTTCTCCTGTCACTGGTGGTTAAGGGCACTGCTGGCTTCACAGCCTACAGCCTCCTAGCAACCAGTGCTACTGACAGTGGGCAGAGCCCAATGGGGACGCTGAGACACTAGTTCCCCATCAGGACCATATTTTTCTTGTGATTGACAGCAAGCAATGGGCGGATTCCATAACCAATAGAAGACTGTGGATTGGCTATGGATCTGCCTGCTGTCCGTCACAAGGAGAATGGACCTGATGGAGAACTAGTGTCTGAAATGCCATCAAGCTCTTCCCGCCTAGCTACCAAAATCCACAGGTGCTGTGGTCATCTAAAGCTGGCCATAGATGGGTAGAATTTCAAACGAAAATTCTTAGGAAAAGAATGGCCTAAAGCTGGCTATAGAAAATTTCATTTGTTTGTTTTGTTTTTTTTTTTTTTTGCTCAACGAGTGGGTTGAATGAAAAACTGACCTGATTCCTCCATCAAAACATTTGAGGTGGATGGTGGAATCCTGTGTCATTGTATTCTAGCTGGGAGGAAACTTTCCCTCCATCAGAATACACAGATCAGTGCTGCAGGCTATAGTCTGCAGTGCTAATTGAGAGGAAATGTAGGTGCTTGTACAGCGTTTAATCCATAGATTGGCTTCTGCACAACCACAGTGCCCGTACATGCATCAAAACTCGTCCGGTCCCTGCTGAACCAGCTGACTTTTTTTTTTTTTTTTTATCTATCTATGGGCAGCATAAAAAAAGTTTGTTTTCTAATCATTAGTAGGTCAAATCACCTCCGTGATGTAAAAATTTGATATATAAACATTTGGGTGATATTTCTATTTCTCAGTGATTTCTCCGCATGTGTTTACTGCATCTGCAGGTTATAAATGTAGGCATTATTGTACGAGGAGGAGGAAGGTGCTCTGTAGCTACTCTGATCCAGTCAGTTTGTGTAATCTAATATCCTGCTATTGTTAACTATTCATAACATAACTAAAAAAAAATTTTCCCAGCAGGAGAAAATTGGATCATGCTTTGCTGGGTATTTTTTGCCTTCCTCTGGATCAACTGTGGGTATAGGATTATCACTTTTTTTTTTTTTTTATATGGTTGAACTGGATGGACTTTTGTCTTTTTTCATCCAGACTAACTATGTAAGGTCTTTAGGCTCCATTCACGCTTATGCAGCTTGGGAACTTGTGCAATATCATCACATTCATTCTTAATTGCACCCAAACACACCAAGCAATGCATGTGCCCATGGATTACACTTCTTTTGCACAATGGCTGTGTGTTGGGGCAGCTCATTTAAATTGTTCAACTACCCTAAATGTGCAAAAATGCAAATGTACTTTTGCACCTGCATAGGTATGAAAGAAGCCTAACCACATGTTAGCTGCCTGCCAAATAATAATTAAGGAAAAAGTTTTATTTTTAGTAAGCTGACTAAAGAAATAAAAAATCTAAAAAGTTTATAGTATAGTAACTTGTATGCAAAAAATTAATTTTTTGTTTTCTCTTTATTGCCAAGTGTGATTTGTTTCATTAGCATTGATAATAGAAATAACACAATTTCATGTCTTCCAGGTTGATTCCTTCAGACTCAGAATGGGGAACCACACTGTGGAAGCATTGTGACAAGAAGTTACACAAGTTTGCACAAGAATGACCAAATCACGCCTTTTTTGCTTGGTGGTGGTACTGGGTTCTGTTTTATGATCCTCTTCATCATCGTTTACTGGGACAATGTTGGAACAGCCAATTTTAATCTTCACACTTCCTTCTCCAAATCCTTCCCTGCCCACTCTGGTGGGGAACATACAACAACCTCTCCAACCACAGAAAGTGGCCATGCTTCAGACATTGACAGGTTTTTGGATGGCTTTCTTAACTTTGCAACTGTAAACGATGATTTTCAAAGCGCGAAGACTGAGAAAGAGACCTTGAAAGGGCCAAATAGCTTGGAGGAAAATGTTAGGGGCTATGACTGGTCTTCTAAAACAAAATTTGAGGAAGTTGTGCAAGATCAGGAACTGGTGCAGCAGGAAAGAAAATTAATTTTGCAAAGGTTCTGTGACAATTCAAGCTTCAATTACCCGACTAAGAATCGGGAGTTTGACGACATTCCCAACAAAGAATTGGATCACCTAATCGTGGATGATCGACATGGTGTTATTTATTGCTATGTTCCGAAAGTAGCCTGTACCAACTGGAAGCGGGTAATGATTGTCTTGAGTGAGAGTCTTTTGGACAGAAAGGGTGTTCCTTACCAAGACCCCCTACAAATTCCCCGGGAGGATGTTCACAATAGCAGTAGTCATCTAACTTTCAACAAGTTCTGGCGACGGTATGGGAAGTTCTCTAGGCACATGATGAAGATTAAATTGAAAAAATACACCAAATTTATCTTTGTGCGAGATCCTTTTGTTCGTCTTATCTCTGCCTTTCGCAGTAAGTTTGAGCTTGAAAATGAGGACTTCTACCGGAGTTTTGCTATACCCATCTTAACCCGCTTCTCCAACCGAACCAGCGTTCCCACTAGTGCAGGTGAGGCCTTTTCCTTAGGAGCCAAACCATCTTTCTCTCAGTTTATTCAGTACCTTTTAGATACCCGGACTGAAGAACAGCAACCTTTCAACGAACACTGGCGCCAAATTTACCGCCTTTGTCATCCTTGCCAGATTGATTATGATTTCGTAGGCAAGTTGGAGACTCTTGACGAAGATGCATCTCAACTGTTAAGGCAGTTAAACCTAGACTCCCTTTTCCAGTTTCCTCCCAGTTATCGGAACAGGACTGCTAGTAGTTGGGAGGAGGACTGGTTCTCCAAGATCCCTCTTGAATGGAGACAAAAACTCTACAAACTGTATGAACCAGACTTTGTTCTTTTTGGATACCCTAAACCAGAAAACATTCTAAATGTATGAAAATGGTCAAAGAGAATATTTTAAATACCAAAAATGAACAATGTTTGTCTGCCTTTTTGTCAGGTTTTTCAGGAACGGGAAAAAACACATTTTCTACAAGTTTCTCTACTTTACATTTCATTCTCAACAAGGGATTTCACAACTCTCATTTATGTTTTATTATGATGGAAAATTTTTAAAGAAGGATTTTTTAAATTCTGCATTTAAACAAAACAAAAATGGGGGAACTAAAACTTACTTTTCAGACCTATCTTCTCAGGAGGAGTTCTCAGAAATGCTTTTTACTGTTTATTTTATAAATTAATATATTATTTAAACTATTTAAGTTTGTGTGCAATGAGTACCTGATATGGAGTAAAGTAGAAAATGGTTGTTGAATCAGACTGTGTGCTTTTTATTTTGTAGGTCCTTCACTATAGTTATCAATTAGAGGAAATTAATGTGATACCCAAGCCATATTTTGTTTTGGATAGAGAGACGAAGCATTAGGACCACTGGTATATTTGTATTTTTACAAGAGACGAAGCATTAGGACCACTGGTATATTTGTATTTTTACGTAAACCTGATGGGGAGATTTCTTTTTTCTTACTATCCCAGTGACACCAGTGTCCACATAGGTTAGGGGAATTATCTCCAATAGGAACAGAAAACAAAAATGATTTCTATTAGTCATGTCCAGAAAGAATGGACTCCCCACATTTCTGGGTCTCATTAATGGTGGTGCTAACACCAACAAAAACATGACTGAGGCTCAAACCCGGCTCTACTCGATTTATAACTTAAATATTTGTCAGCTGTTCTAGTTTAACCCCTTCACGCCGACCAAACGTAAATATACGGTCCCACTGGACTGGGCTTTTTTCTATGGGGTCGTTAATTTGTGTACATCTTTGTGCTGGCAGCGCGCCACATGTCACGCTCCCAGAGCAGAGACCGGGGTCTCCCTGAGAAGCCCAAGGTCCCCTGGCAATGATCAGGACCCGGAACTCCCGATTCTGGTCACCTGACTCTGATTGGCTATCACAGCGATCAGTCACTGTGAAGCTCGTCCCTATGTTTTCACTCTAATGGAGGAGAGAGATGCATTGAATCTCTGTCTGCCCTTTCAGGAAAAAAATAAAAAATATCTAGATCAAGGTTTGATCTAGGTCAGTGCCAGGGTTAGTGTTTGGGTCAGGGTCAGTATTTTTCTTTTTTTTTGGTCAGGATTTTTGTTTTAACATTTTTAAATTAGTATCAGCGTCCGTGTATTTTAGGCAGGATAAAAAAAAGCAAAATGCGCACTATTGTTTCTGGGCCATACTATGGGCAAAAAATGACAACTAACATACACATATGTGGTATCGCTACAATCTTCAGGAGACTTTATTTTGAGTTGTTCTTTGGTGGTAGGTTAAGGTAGTAGCAAGAAATATGCAAATTTTTAAAAAATTTTTAATTTTAAAAAAAAAATTTTAAAAAATTTTTGGGCCAGTTTTTCTTTGATAATGAAAAATCTGGAGTTATCCATTACCATTCACCACCAAATAAAAGCCCAATTTGTCCTAAAAAAAAAAAAAGTTGTAATCCACTTGGATGCACAAAGTAGTTGTGAGGATATGTACGTTTTACTAACACATGTCAAAGTTGTAAAATTGTGCTTAGCCATTTAGATTTGTGTTGCCCTTAGGCACGAAGGGGTTAAAGGAAACCTGTCATAGGAGACATAGGGAGAATGCTATTGTTTTAAAGCAGAGTCTTTAAACTTCTGCCTACCTGGTGGTCACATCAGTACATTCGGACACCTATCCAGTGGATCCAGCTTTGTCCAGTTGCACTGCCGTGTTTTCACGTGACGTCATCGATAGGCTGCTGGCTGTTTCAGGTTCAGCCGCTGAGCCTACTGATGGTGTGCTGATAGGCTCGCCCCTTCCTCCTTTCTTCAATGAAAGGCTATGCTTCCTGGGATATGGGATGTACATATCCCAGGAGGCAAAGGGAGCACAGTTCACGAGGAGTGGGGCTGAACGTTTTCTTAGAAAAACAAAAAAACAAAAGCTAGAGGGGTGGAGCGGAGGTTTAAAGTTTTGAGGTTGAAGATCCACTTTAAGTAGGTGTTTGTAAACGAAATGGTAACCAATCTTCTTCCAAGTTTTAAACAAAAAAAATTTAGGAAAGAGGTCAGAATTTATGCAAAACGTTGTATACACATCATCATTTTTGACCCCATTTTGACTTGTATGCTGAGCCTGTGTTGGGAAATTTTATAAGGAGATTAGCAGTGGCAGCTTCCATAGTTCTCTTGTGACAGCTTTCCTTTTTAAAACACTTTTTTTTTTTTTTTTTTTAAACTCATGTTCTCTTGCCTCTAAAGGCCCTTTCACACAGGAGTTCAGTCTGGATCGGTCTGTCAGTTTTTCCAGACTGAACTATGTACGTCTGAGTGGGTGGCTGTAAATTGATGTACATCTGCTTACATCCCAGTTCATTTCTGCTGAAAAAAAATGTAAAGGTTTGCAACTTTTTCTGTTTTACTGGACATATACTGATGCCGTCCATTTTTACAGGTTGTTAGTCAAGAAACCTATTTTTTGTTCATATTGTTGTCTACCTGACTTTTCTTTTTCTTAAAAAAACAACTTAAAAAAAATTAAATAAATATGGGTACATGAGAAATGTATGTATACTAATGTAAACTGAAAACGTGAAAACTGATATGCTCTTATGATGGAACTGATGATGCTTGAGCGTAAAAAGGGTCAGTCCGGATTTTCTGCATGCGCATTTTTGATGCATTGTGCATTTTCTTCCCTCCTTTTTTTTTTTTTTTCTTCACCTTAACTGAGGACATGTGCATTCTGGTGTGTTTTTGAAGCTTTTGATGCACTGGTGTGAACTATGCCTATGGAGACCATATAAACTACTAGCCATGCATTTTTTGATGCAGAAAAAAAAACCCCACATTGGACTGCATGTGGTGTGAACCGACCCTAAATGTTAGAAAAGTGTGTTTTGTGTTTTTTTTCTTTTCTTAGAGCCAGCACACACCACTTACCATCCAGTGTGTTTTTTTTTCCACATTAAAAAAAAATCCTCATGCATCATGGACAGTAGGAAGTTTTATGACTTCCAATGGTATAATTCACACCAGTGCGGTCAGTTCCCCAAAAAAATAAAATGCATTTTTTTTCTGCACCGAAGTGTACTGGAATGCTGTAAATTGTACTAGAATGCACATGTCCTTATTGAAGGTGAAGGGGAAAAAAAAGGGAAAAATGAGCTGGAGATCATCAGAAAATGCACCAGAGCTCATGAAAAACATGCATGCCTAATGTGTCACAGCTGGGTATGTCTAAAACAAAAGCAGTTCATGTGATGCAATAAATGGCTCCACTCTCCTGCTAAAAAAATTGACAAAAGTTTCTTTTGTTTTGATATGTAAATCTTAATTTTAAAGTCTGCTTCCTGATGAGGCATTCAGTCCAAATGTTATGGAAGGCTTCTTCTGTTAAAGATACAGGTGTACCTTGGTTTATGATCACCTTGGTTAACGTAACTTTCGGTTTACGAATGAAAATCCATTGAAAATAATGCCTTGGTTTACAAATTTCTTTTCGCAATATGAAGTGTATGTCGGTAGCGATTTTTAAATTCAATTGCCTGCTTTTTTTTTTTTTTTTTTTTTTTACTTCACTATAGCTCACAGAATTAGCTGTCACTTTCCTGGAACTAAAGGATACTTTGTTTCTTTTATCTCGGAAAACAAACTAAAAGGAAACATTGTTTCTTTTACCTTGGGGAAATAAACTAAAAGGAAACTTTCTTTTAGCTGGGGGGGAAAGTGACAGCTGATTCTCTGAACTATAGTGAAGAAAAAAAAAGGTAATTACATTTTTAAAAAAACTGCACTGACCTATAGTGACGAGTTTTTTTAAAAAAAATTTCTGACCTCCGGAACGGATTAATTGGCTTTCAGTGCATTCCTATGGGAAACCACGTTTCGGTTTATGAATTTTTCGCAATACGAAACGTCCCGGAGAACGCATTAAATTCGTAAACCAAGGAACACCTGTATATTGATATTGCACAGTATTTTCTCTATTATGTTGAAGCACAGAAGTCTTCGTTTTAAAAAAAAAAAGTAGTTGCCTGTTCCGACACCAAATTGCCGTAACATGCCTGGCTTCTTACATTTAAAAGATTGAAAGTTGACCAGATTGGATACAGCCATCCATGCCTAAAACCTTCTATTAGCTAAGGATAAAAATATTTGAATCTCTATAGCAAATGGCTACATTGAGAGATGGTATTACCAAAAATAATCAGGACTCTTCTGTTAATGAAATGTCAGCCTGTGGTGCTTGCAGCTGCTGTTTTTCAGTTTTTTTGTTTGTGTCCTTTTGAGTTTGTACATTGTGTTTGCCTTATGTTTTGAGTTCTGGTTTTTCTCCAATTTTGATTCTGTTCCGTAAACAGAATCAAAATTGGAAATTTTTTTTTTTAGAAATATTTTCATACGGTCTCCGAACAGCTGCTTACATATCAAAACATTTAATATTTATGTTTAAAATTTGTACTATCTCTCGATTTATTTTTTTAGTTTGGACAGAGAATTAAATGTAAGACTGACTGGCTGTCATCCCCAGCCCACACCAACACACCCAAAAGTGCTCAGAGAATTTCACAAAAGGTCTACAGACATGGCCTTACAATCCCTACTATGCATAGATTATTATTATTATACAGGATTTATATGGCGCCAAAAGTTTGCTCAGCATTTTACAATATAACGGGAGACAATACAGCAACAATACAGTTCAATTCAAGAAGGTTAAGAGGGCCTGATCCTGGGAGCTTACAATCTAAGAGGTTCTCTTCTGTTTCTAGGCACCCTTACACCAACTAGTGCAGTATCACTTTTATTCAGCTATCGTGGTGTGTTCTCTTCTGTAACATTCTTGATTCTTATGAATGAACAAATAGAATTCTTACCCAGTGGTCATAGGAGGTGAAAAGAGC